AAGAGTTCTGAAGTGAACATGACCTTTGACCTTCAGCTACTTTAGTCTGAAAGATTGTATCTTTATTGCTGTGAATCAATATTGATGTTTCCCCCATTTCAACACCAAAAATAAACAAACTAGATAATCACATGACCTTGCTTTTTGAACTAAATGACCTTGAACTTAGCCTTTGAAGCCTTGAAATTTTCCCCTCTTAGTCAACAACTATCGCAAACTGAGTACTATGACAGAAAATTGATGTTTTAAACTGTAAAGCTAATGTGACAGACAGATAGACAGACATAAGAGGCCTAAATTAATTACAAGTGCAACTGAAATGTCATGGTTAGCTAAGTAACTAAAATGTCAGAGGTTATTTCTTTATATTCATCAATAACTTTCAATTATTTAATCGTGTTTAACATTTGTATCAATATTTTCTAACAACATGAACTTAAGATACATTTTAAGAAAAGTTGTCACTGTTCAATGGTCTATTCTTTCATTGGTCTCGGTACAAATTATGCATATGAAAACTTATATCATTGCAACTATTCCTGCATATCAGCCACTTAACTGTATTCCACTCTATGTTTGAAAGGAAGCTTCAGCATATACTTTAAATCAGGAGTAAAATATGTACAAACAGAGGTAATTCTTGATAAATTCATAATCTAGAATTATTGCTTTGCTTATAACAACAAACATTTGAATATATGCATTTCACAATCTGAATCTTCTCTACAAAGATTATACAACATGATTTGTGGGGGGAGGAAGGGAGATGCTTAGGTGTTTTGATATGTACTCATCATATTCAATAGGAAAGTGATCAAGCTTTTCCAAAAAGACTACAATACAATACTGATCAAGATGATTAAGTTCTAAAGACAAGTGTACTCTAATGTGTTCAGTTATAATTTTTATAAGAATGTGTTACTTTATAAAATTTTCTACATAAATCTGTTTAAGGGAGAAAAACCTGTTTAACCCTGACTTATATTACATACATAAGAGAGAAGTTTGAAACACTGTTTTTAATGTATTTACATTGACATTCTTTAAAACTGGATCAGACTGGTCCAGCCAATAGGAGATTCATTACTTATAATTATACATTATCAACATAATATGGCATTGTTAAAATACATAGCAATATCAGATGTGTATTGCAATATCATGTCTCGATAAGTTTTTTTAATTGGTGAACCGTTCGAGGAAAAAAAATTGTATTATGCTTTGGAAAATTTGAATACGAGAGAGGATGCATCATCAACAGAATCACAGATAAGGATTTATCACATATAAGTTCTAGTGTAACAGGACCCATTATGTACGTTAACACACAGACCTACTACAGCTGTATAATACCTCAGTTTCAACTTCAAGTAAAGAGGCATGGAGCAAGAACTAACTTTTAGATTTCTGATCATGTCTAACAAAACGCTTTCAAAAATAGTTTTATCATGTGAGAAAGAGAATTTTAATTGGCCTTCTGTTTCGTATCAGTCACAATCAGTTTAACTACATTTTATGGAATTCTTTTCATAAATCTAGTATGATAAGGAAACTTGTGTAAAAACTTCTACATACATAATATTCATTGAGTGCACTGGATTATGGAGTATCATAGGTTCACAGAAGGGAAGGATTTATAAGCTGAATTCATTAACTATGACAAAAATGTAAAACACAATTTTCATTTTATTAATCTAATTTCATCACCTCACTTCTTGATAATCTTTGTCAAAAAAGTCAAACAGTGGGGAAAATGTAGCAATCACTTCAGAAGACAGCAGATATATTAGATTTAGATCAGTCATCCATGTAAATAAATAAGTGGCCCATGAAGAACTTTGTACACTTACGAAATATTTCACATTTATCTAAGTCTCTTACTACTACATTTGTTAACCAAGAAAAAAAATTGACAATGTCAGAGAATCTGAGAGATGAGCATCAGTTTATGACAGTAATAGCAACCATAGTGACTATCTACAGTAATGGTATAAGTTTGAAGAAAGTCTCAATGTATATTTCTATTGTTGAAAAAATGAGAAGAAGGAAGGAAGGAAGGAAAAATAAGGAATCATCAGTTATAAACTTGTATTATACCATAAGTGTAAAAAGTGTAAATTGATTCATCAAGCATTCATTAATTCTGCCCAAGTTAAAACCAGATGATTGCGTGGAAAAAGCACTGCAATGGAACTAAAGAAAGAAAACCCATTTGGAGAAACAACTTGAAACCCCAGGAAAATATGTAATGGACCAGCAGTAATTTGGCAACTCACATGCACCATTTTCTTATATAATCAATGAAAAGCAGTTTTTAAACAATTTTTGGCAAGCAGCTTTGGTAAGACAAAACAAAGACAACACACACTGGGAGAGGTCAACATGTTCAATGTTCAAACAAAGAATAAAAAAATAGCCAAATAGTAGAATTGTTGAAATCATGTCTTTTTCATTCAGAGATGAAGTGGCTTGTGATACCAGAAAATACTGGTAAATGTATTTAACATTTCTTTACTATCAAAAGTCATACTATCAAGATATTTTTCAGTAATGTTTGAACTATCATTAAAAAATGTTTTAATTTTTACCAAGTACCTGTTGACAGCCAATTTAAAGAAATGTCATAATAATCTGCTTAGCCTAAACAGCTCAAATAAGATTCTGATATTTGTGGATAATAAATTCTGGCAGAATTAACAATGCTATTTGATCATTCTGTGGCACAACCAATTTTACAGAAGATCAACCAGAGGAAAATTAGTTACATTTTTTCTTTGGTGAACTTATTCTGAAAATCATGGATGTTAAGCATATTAATAAACTTTCAAACTTGATATGAAGATTTACAGTAACAATTTTAATATCTTGATTCTCACATAAAAAATTAAAATACTTAAAGTCTGAGTTTGCACAGGATTACAACAACATTTTTGCTATAATAGGTACAGAATTGTTTGTAAAATATACATTGTCTGTAGCTTGATGTCACAGAAACATCAATCCATAAAAATACTAAAAACTGTAGCAGTTCTAAGAGAAATATATTGAAATATATTCAGCAGTATCAATTCAATGATGACCTAGTACAACGAAGGAGTATTATAATTCTTCTGGCAAAATGAAACATAAAAAGATCAACTCAGTGGTATTTATAAACACAAAATTGGATATAATATCAGAATTAAGTTGCATTGAAAACAGATTAAATAACATAAAAGAAATGAATCAAGGGAAACCAAGACAAAGAACTGTGTAATCTTCAGGATATAGCCGAGTTGAAAAATGTATATTTGTTTAATCGCAACACACCCTTATTGAGAACTTCAACATTGAGAGTTTTAGGTGTATCAAATACTCAGTTTAAATACATAATATGATCTCAATCCACTTCTACTCAAAGTCAGGAGTCAATTTAAATTAGAGATTATTTGAAGTTGAAAACAGCTGATTATTTTCAATATAAATATAAATATTAAATTATTTATACACATATAAGTATCACATAATCTATAAAATAATCATACTAATGTATTCAAAAAAATATTTTAAAAAGCAGGACAAATCTGGAGACAATAGTTTTTCATAATGGTAATTACATCTTTGTATCTGTATGTTTGCATTCAACATACAAACTTTCAATAAATAAAATAATTATATTCATAAATGAAACATGTACAATAGTAATGTATACTGAGTAATAATATAAGAAAATAATACCAGGGAATTGAGAATAAACTGAACTAAATTTCCGGGGAAATTAACATAATTCGCACATACATTTGTATATAGATCAATGTAAAAATCCTAATCATGTCATTAGGATGTTCATTTGATCACCAAGTCATTAATAAAGATACAATAATACATTAGCACAAGAAATAAGAACAAAAAATTTCAGAAGAAAACACAAGATCTGAGAATCCATTAAAAACAATAATTTAGGATAAAAGGTATTGTTGGCTTACGTAGCTACAATGCCTTCTTCCCTGTATAATGAAATATCTCTGTAACTGATTTAAATTAGGTAGTCACAATATCTATGGGTCTGGATTTCTTAAATCACATTTACTAAGATATGTTTTCGTCTATATTGTGTAGCCATGTAAGACTTAAATGTACAATAAATCTAGATCTGGCCATAGTCATTCATCTATATTACTGGCCTTTTGTGGGATTTCACCTATTGATATCACAGTAGTCTCCCCTAAATGTTATGGAGTAAAGTGTACCATTCAAGTTGTCTCCCCTACAAGGCGATTATACCAAACCAACATCCTGCCAGATAACGATAGTAGGATTTTCTTGATCTTTTTTGGAATGGTGGAATAACCAATTAATACTGCTCAAGATTAAAATCCAAAGAGGCCTGTACATTGCTATATGTCAAACCAACTCTTATCAAAACACTCCAGATAAATGATAATTCCTGGATCAGGTTTCTTTTGCCATCAGCCGTGTCAAGCCATTTTGTCCTCAACATGACACTTGTTTTTGCTTCCTTCAGAGAAAGTTTGTCAATATTTTCCTGGACTAGCCTTATTACAGGTGGGTTTATCTTTTAAATGGAAATATTTCCATAACATGTTTACTTTATCAGTGTTCTCAGTTGTTTTCCCTTCAGTAATGAGCAGTGTAGTGTATGAAGTACCTGAAGAGTAACTAGCAGCAGTGGAGAGAGAGATGTTTGTTGCTAAGTGATAGTTTCAGGTCACAGTGAATTCTTGATGCTATGTAACACCAATGTCATGTCCTTGTGAACAATACAGCCATGTAACACTCAGAACTTCCAGGGAATTTTTTGAAGCCATTTAACACCACTTTAAGGTCCCAAGGAGTTTTGTAGTCATGTAATAACCTTTAGCCCACTTGCTTATTGTTATCCTGAACCTCTCTGGTCCTAGTGAGTTTTTAAGCTAAGTTACACAATGAGGTTGCAGCAAGTTTGATAGTCTTTGTTGACCCCCCCCCCCCCCCCACACCTACTTCCGATACCAGCCCAATCTGTAGACTTCTAATATAACATTGTCCAAGTGCATTTGGAATTCATGTATCTGTAAAAATCATTTATCTTCTGATGTCTTGTCATTATCGTCAGACTGAATGCCTGGTTCTTTAGAGGGTGTTCCTGGGACATCTGGAGAACTGTTAGCTGATGCTGCAGATTCTGTCTCTTCCTTGATTGGCTCCATCTCACTGCTGTTTTCTGACTGCTGTAACATAAATCTTAATCATCAGCAAGAATATATTATCAAACTACTGTAACAGATTAAACCTAGAACAGTCTCAGTTCCTATCAAGGCAAATTATTATAATCATTGTAATTCAAATCAAATTCTAACAGCAAAAACATTTACCATAAATCTTTTAATACTTATTGTACTCAAAGCATTATTCATGCTATTTCATGTATATTATTTGGTAATCATACAAATGTCAGGGTGATTTCCTGTATTATCTGTTTATGCTAAACTGCTAATACATGCAATTGCCATATACTGTATCCAGCGATAAGCCCATGTTTGTTAATAAGCCCCATCCCTACATACTGATGTTCAAAAGAATCATCAAGAAGTGTTCTTTAATTTTCCAGTAATAAGCAAATTAGCAAATCATATTAGTACAAATATGTGTTTGTGCTATCTGTGATAATCTTAATTAATACTGACTGTGATATGTTATAATGTCTTTCACTATAATAATTTTGTATGTATTTTAGTATCTGATTGTGATATCATGTTTTACTAAAGAATGTAATATTTTACTAACTTGAGGACCATGTGGTAGATTAGCCTTTGGCTAAACATGTATTATCCTCTTTAAACAAGAGGCCCAGAGGGCCTGTATCGCTCACCTGGATCTTTATGACCAACAGTACTATATCTGTGCATATGTTCCACAGTAGTTGCTTAAAGCAATATGACAAATTACTCCATATGGGTACTGTCCCTTAGTAGTCAGCCCCCTCATCTGTGCAATGTTGAATTGAGACTTTCTTATGATGTTTCCAGTTAAATATAATTGATAGCTTTCTTTTAAATCAAGGAAAGAAGATGGTCAAACCATATAGCAAAAAAACTCTTAGTTATAGCTCGACGGATGACCCAGGACAGCAGAAGCTTACTTGCCCTTTAGATCATTGTTTACAAACACAGATACAACATATTTGAGACTTGCGCAAGTCAACAATATATAGCAACAATTGAATATAAAGACAGGAAAAATCAAGGTACATGTAATGATAAACCGTAATCTTTACTCAAAACCAATAATAAAATGTTTCATGTATATCATTAGTGATGTCACCATGGTCAGTTAAGCACAGGTTACTGGAGATATACTGATAACAGTTTACTGTAGGCCTATAAACACTGCATAGTAAATGGGATCAACTTAAAATTTCTTATTTATTTATGCTATAATTATGAAGAATCTTAAATCAAAATGAAGACCTTGCAATTCTCTTTCTGATCATGTTTTCTGTATATTAATGCTGTGAATAGAACATAAGGCATTGGCTAACATGTAGTTTTTCACATTACTTAGCTCAAGCCTCTCAGACCTCCTGGGGGCTTGGCCTAATCTTTTTTTTGGAACAGTGTGACATCACTGTGAAAGGTCTTCATAATTTATTCCAAATTATGCCAAGAAAATTTGCAGCCAAATACATTCCTTTAATAAGTCATTGGAAGGTTCTACATATTTGTATACAAGCCTTTGTGAAACTTTTACCGGCCAAATATGATAGCCTTTGGTCAATTAGAAGTTGTTAATGATTTTATAAAATTTAACCCCAGTGGCCTTAAATATTTTTATGGGTCAATCTATTTTTTCACACACTATGTGGGCACAATAAAGGGAACCTTTGGCCAACTATTATGATTTTAGGCCTTTTGGTTTAGCAGAAGTTGTTCAAAGGTTTAATGCATTAGATCATTGTGACCTTGAATATGGGTCAAGGTCATTACTTTTCTCAAATATTATCGGGCATCACTGAGAACCCAATAGTCTCACTATCCCAGATATTTGGTTAGTAAGAAAAAGTTGTTTTAAGGTTTAAATACATTTGACCCCTGTGACTTTGAAGATTGGTAAAGGTAATTTCTTTTAGCAAACTTTGTAGGACAACATAAGAGGAACATAGTAGCCTAATATAATGATTTTAGGCCTTCCAGTATTTAGGGAAATGTTGTTTAAAGGTTTTAACACATTTGACCTCTTTGACCTTGAATATGGGTCAAGGTCATTTCTTTTTGCAAACTTTGTTGGGCTTCATCAAAGGAACCTTCCAGCCAAATATGATAACTCTACACCTTTTAGTATTTCAGAAGAAGTTGTTTAAATGAAAAGTTGACAGACGCTGGGCTATGGACGACAGACGGACCACGGATGGACGCTGCACTATGGCATAAGCCCACTTGGCCCTTTTTGCCTGGTGAGCTAATAAAGTCTATTATTATTATTATTAGTATTATTATTAAGTTAATCAACATATTTTCAATTAGAGGTTTGACGTTCAGCCTCTGGAAATCAAGAAGGATAAATACAGCATGAATACAAAAGATCATGACTAAAGGTAATTTTGCTAAGTCATGTCATGTGACTACCACTAACTGAAACATGTATGTACCGGTACTGTCTCTGTAGTAGTCTCACTACTAGTCTTCTGGTCTTCCTCCTGTTTCATTATTCCTAACCAGTATTCGTAATTCTCCTTCATGTTCTTCGTCAGTAAACAGTTGACCTTCCGTGGCTTCTTGTCAAACTTGAGAAGCACTGGTGACCCTGAAACACACACAGAAATAGGGACAGCTTTCAGATCTACAAGGTACTTTCTAACAATGAATAAGTAAAATGAAATTCTGAACCATGTAATGTATCATATCTCAGAATTTTATTTCCATTTTTTTCTTGTTATGAAGATGTATACTAAAGTCTTCAGTTAAAATCAAAAGTTCTATAATAACTAAATTTGATTTTATCATGTTAAGACTTCTATTTACCTGTCTCTTGATCAGTCTCATTTTCATCCTCAGTATCTTTACATGTGTTGTCTGTTTTCTCTGTATCAGACTGTCCTGAAGCAAAATAAACAATGGCTGGTAACATGATCACAATACAAACATCAACAAATGCTTCCATGAACTAGAAATCAAACTTAACCTTAAAACTAGTTTCGATCCTTCACATTTTTTCCGGCTCATTTGATGTTTTTGGCCCCCAAAGAACTAGTTAGATCACAAAAGGTCAATAATCTAAAGGTAAAGCAACCATTAATGGAGAAACTCTCAGAGTAATATTCCTTCCTTACCTTCAGCATCACTGTCTGGATCCTCCACCCATGTGCCAGGCAGGAGTCCACCTGTAACCATGGCATTACACAATGGTGCCACCAGATGATTGATAAATGTTTGCTGAAGCTTGGCCAGCTGTGGCATCTTCCTGTCCATGTAGGGGGAAATTGGCATTCCAAGACCCAGCTCTTCATCTCCCTGCATTGTGCAAATTAATTACTATTTTGCATTCATGAATAATAAATATCACTTGAATTACAACTTTGTAAAGCAATACCACCGTGTCTAGTAATAAGCCAATCCACATCTTACAAAAACTACATACCTACATACAAAATTTAAAAGAATTTGTATTCATGTACATGTGAGAAGTCCATAGAAAAATTTTGTCATTAAATAACATGTTACATATACTTTGAATTACTTTTCATTTAATGGTAGCAGTAATCGACCACTAGTACAAGGATATCAAGACAATTAGTCACCTGTTCGTAGAACTCTTCCGCTATGCGATAGGTCCACTGTCGATGCAAATGTTTGGTTTTAGCTGGTCCATTGATGTCAGCCAGCTTGATGACCATCTGCATGACCAAAAGGCGTTCTGTTTCTACTGACCAGTCAATTCCGGTGGATGATTCCTCGTCATTCACCTGTACACAAAGAATGGTAAACAACACACTGGTGTTGTTGATTTTCTTTTGACTTTCTAGCTTTTATTGTCGTACTTTGTGTTTGACAGGTTAGTACTTTTTTTTTTTTTTTTTGTGAAGCAAACACTGTCTTACAGTCAGTTAAAGTTATATATATATATCAGTATTACAATTTATTGGACAAGGAATGAAGAGCAGGTATCAAAAATAGCACACAAAATTTGCTTTCATTTAATACAAGGAAACTTTGAAAGAATATTAAGCCAAAAGTAGATGTGTTTATTGAAACAATTTTATTTGCTATCAGGATGAACTTGTCACTAATGTAAAACCTCTATAACTACCCTTCTTAATGAGACAAAACATTAGAAAGAATTGAAAGAGAGAGAGAGAGAAAAAAAATCCCAATAAAATCAAGCAGCTGCTGAATGAATATTTTTCTAACAAGCCAGGCTGACAATGCGTTTACAAATCTTTTTGTAGGCAATGTACATACTTATGTTTCATCAACAATGTATTATGCCAAAAATATCATCTTTAGGCAATGTATACATATAGAGCCAAATACATTATTGGTATATAGTGTGAGGAAGCATATAATCTGAACTCTGATACAAATGAAGTATTGTGTAGCATGTAAACCTCAACACAAACCTCATTAACTCTTGTTATAACAAGTGGTCCATGGGCCTTAATGGTCATCTGTATATCAAGACCTACCCAGGTATATAAGGTATAGGCCATGTATCACAGCTTACAAGGAAGACTTCCTAGTTCATGAAGTCAATTTCTGCAAACTTTAAATCCTATTCCTAATACATGCTAAAACATGGCAGCCCTCCATCCCAGCATGCTACTGACCAAATATCAACACCTTAAGGGTTTTGGTTATTGAGAAGAAGTTGCTTAGTGATTTCAACAAATTGGACCATTGTGACCTTGAAAGAGGGTCAAGGATATTGATTTGAGTAAACTTGAAGCATTTCATCCCAGCATACTACAGATCTAATATCAGTACCCTGTACCTTTTGGTTATTGTGAAGAGGCTGTTCAAACTTTAAACATTTGACCCATGTGACCTTGCAAGTGAGTCAAGGTCATTCATTTGTACAAACTTGGTATCCCTTCATCACAATACCATACAGGCCTAATATCATTACCCTGGACTATTTGAGAAGTTGTTTTAAAGCAAAGTTTATGAATGGCAGATAGCACACAACCTTGGATGCTACACAACAGCTACAGGTCATCCTGAACTTTGGATTCAGTCAGATGAACTAAATATTAACTCAGGTAGGAACATTTATCTAACACACCTGTAATGTAACATGTACCTTTTGCTCTGGAACAAGTATAAGGTTTTGTACATTTTAATGCTGAACAAGTGTAAGGCAGCATACATCCTTAACTGTGACACATGTATGATGTAGCCTAAATCCTCCATTCTGACATGTATAGCCAAACATATATTCTCAACTCTGACACACATGTAAGGTAGCATAAACCCTTAACTCTTGACACAACCATAAGGCAGTATAAACTCTGAGATCTGTAGTATACATTCTCAACTATTACACATATGTAGCATAATATACCACCTATACATTCTTAACTCTGACTTAGGAGTAAGTTAAGGTAATAAACATCTTAAATTTTTCGAAGAAATGATCGTTACAATGAAGACCATAGCATATATCTTTAACTCTTACACAACTTGCAGGTAAACTGTGTCCGGTAACACATCACTTTTACATAAATCAAGGGTACAAATTTAATGGTTGTGTATTTGAGAAGGTAAGCAGTAATCGATTGCACAATCTTCCATCTAAAGATGGCCTGTACCCTGATTTGGGTAAAAATTACTAACACTGTTGCAGCTATTATCTAATGAGATATTGCTACCTTCACCTTGAAGTACTGTTGAACACATGCTAATTTTTTCTTGACAAGTTATTAATATAACAATGAAGCTGGTTGATACTCAAGTTATGTATAATAATAGGCATGTTATATTCAAGCCATTTCAATTTGTCATAATACACAAACATGAAGCTGAAATTTTCCAAACTACATGTTATGCAAACTGATAAAATTTGCATTCATCTTTAATGAACAATTGTACCACTGCAAATAGCTTTCTTCCACAGAGTAAGCTCTGCAAATGCATACGAAACCAGTAGATAAAACCAGACAAATTAAATATGGATTTTTGCTGATGCAAAATGAAGCCAAAGTCAAGAATATTTTCCAAATTTTCAAACATTTACTAAATTTTCCAATTTCATACAGGTGTAGATTGCCGAGGAATTCAGACAGTTATAACAATTACCACATCTTTGTTAGTGAGCAATTCCTGATAATAAAATTATATACAATTTGGATTTCGGCTAAAGGCAGACTTATATGAGTAATTCATAACCAAAAGAGTTAGTTTCAGTAAATTTGAATGATTTACTGTGATATTAATTAAATACAGGTCAAAGCCATTGACCTGTTGTTATTTTGAAAATCAGAGAAACCCAACCAATTACTTGCTGTCAGATGTAATAAAGTAACCGTTCCTTGCAAATTATTGTTAAAGGTAACAAGTCACCCACACTTATGATTTGTTGTCATGTATAGCTGCAGTTATAAAGAAAGTCATAGTTAAACTCTTGTTATATCAGACCTGTAAGAGATTCCCACATAAAATTAGTTGTTAAGTTCAGTCAAGAAACCCAAAACCAGCAACTTGTTAGTGAGAGCTTTACACTTACACGTGTCAGATATTGTCCACCGCAACCAGAAATATGCAACTGAAAATAGTGCTACCATTACTTCTTGGGAAGGGGATAATTTGTTATTGCAAATAGATTAAATCTTAATTTGATTTACGGAGAAAATGACAGATGCATAATTTCAAGAAATATATAGTTAGGCCAAATTATTACATTATATGTCATGCTCAATATACATCCAAACCAACTGTTAAGAACTTTCCAAGGCAGTGGCCTTTTTTCTGTACCAGATATCTGAACTACAGCAGAAATCATTCTAAAGCAACCATCTAACTAAAAATATAGAACATCTACTGTAACACATAACTACTGTAAACTGTAGAGTAGAAATCTAATTGAGCATCTAAAATAACTAGTACAACTACTGAATAAATTTTTCTATGGTAATAATCTAACTGCAATGGTTTTGTACCTAAAACTACATTACATCTGCATTAGATCTTAATCAAACTCAGTATGAACTTGGTTCATTTCCATGTATTTGTCTTTTACAGTCTTAATTATTAATCCATATCATTTAAACAGTCTTTGATAACAGATTTACGACTGGGAGAATACCACAAGTGGCGTTGGCTGAAAAGATACTGTCCTTCATGTAGAAAGTGTCCCCTGTTAAAGCAGTTAGCTGAAACACATCCACTTCATTTATTATCTTACTTTTGCATTAAATTCGGCAAGGATTTCAAAGTGGCGTTTTAGATCTGTGGCAAGGATGAGCTCTATGACGAGGAAGCGGAATCTCTTGAATTCTGCCTGGTCAAGGCCAGACAAAAAATTGTGATGTGGATTGGCCAGTAGTAACTGCCAAGCTGCAGCAGCATGGTAGTTCTCTAGTACTGACCGGTCATTGTACAGGATAGCCTAAAAAGGTAAAACAGACAACAGTCACTTCATATACATTTATATATATGTTTACATTTATTTCATAGTTTTCAGATATCTGCTAGAATCACTAAAATTGTTGTTCCTTTATTATGACTATCAAAAATTTGAGCTTTTGTAGATTGTTTTTTTCATGATGGAAAACACAAATTTCAATTTCAACAAATTTACTGTTTACGACTGATGAAGAAAGCTTGTAAGTGACACTCACAATGTGAAATTTGTTTGATAATGCATTTGACCACATGACTGGTGCACATTTTCATGGACAAAAGGGCATGCTTTTCATATGAATTTAACTTAGTTAACTGCAACTAATTTTGTAATATTATAAACAAACCTTTTTTTATCCTAAAATACAATCTATCAATATAACTGCAATGGAATACAATGTATAAAATAGCTTTTTTCTTCCTCAGACTTCGTATGTAACTTGAAATAAAGATAAACAGCATAACATACTGACCAACAAAAAAAACTTCATAACTGATCTAAAATAAACACATCAAAATAATTTATTTGAGTGAAAGTCTTAAAATCATCTCTGTTCTTATGCCAGTAAGAGTTCTCTCCCTTCCTATCACACTTAAACACTTACCTGTTTAGCATGGGTTGCCACAAGAAAAGCGTTTGTACGACCTGGATGGTTATAATCATGCATGGCAGCAGCCGTGTATAATGCCATTAGTTCTAAGGCAGGAAAGTTTCCTCCCATAATGCCATAGCTATCCTCGGCCAGGAAACTTCCTGCCCGATGTGTCATCTTTTCAACACAGTCTGATTCTGTCAACATGAAGTGTTCCACATAGAAATAAAAGAATATCTTTTTATATCTATTTAACTACCATAAAAAATTCTTGAGATGAGGTAGTCCTCAGCTACACTGAACAATTAGATGTCAGCGACCCAATCATAAAATGAACAATTTTCATTTTTTTTATTCATATCCTTAATAATTTTCAAAGCATTATAGATTGATGACAGTCATTTTGACTATTCACTTTAGCATGCCCTATTTTATAAGATATATGATATTATATGATCATTTCCATCCCTACATTTTATAAAATGAATACAGAACAGAAGTTGTGACATTTGGCTGACTAAGAAATAATTATCAAGTCTACATCTTTACAGAGGATAGACGAGTTACAAAGATAAGAGAAATCCAGAACATGAACTTAACATTTTTGGTTGTGAAAAAGCATTAGAACAAACTTTTTGAATGTAAAACTAAACTTCCCAATATGGACTTTGACAGTTGTTCAGGACAATCAATTACTATTCACTACTTTTATCAAGCTACAAATAAATACAGTCAAACTTCTATGAATCAAGCTTCGATGATTAAAATTTCCCCAATATATCAAAGTTATTTTTCGGTTCTGACTTTAATTTCTATATATTACTACTAACTTACTCCTTTATGAACCAAAGTTTTATAAATTGAACTTTTCCATAAGATATGATAATACAATCAATGACACCTCATGCTTCAAACAAATAATTTACCTGTACAGGTATTATTGCCCTGCAGCAAACTTTTGAACTTCGCTACCTGATAATGGGATTATGATACCACGATGTTATCCACTTTGTGAGGTTTATGAGGTTAATTAATGACACAAATTAAAGTTTCATTGCTTATTTACAAGCCATGATATTTAATCAAAGATAATAAGACGTTGCACAATTTTCTCTGCCGTCATTGCGGTAATGGCATATAGTTAGTTAGGTATATGGTAGTGTGAAAACAATTGGAGGGAATCCTATCACTTGTATGATGATCTCACTCATTCCCAAAGAGCCACTTTTCAAGTGTTAAGCATGATAAACATGGTGATTTATCTGGCAGTCATGTGTTCTCCTACTGATTCAGACAAGCTGTTGTCAGAATATATACAAACACTTTTAATGTCTACGACTGAGGATGTGTGATGTTAGTGTTGTTGTTTCTGGACAGAATTTATTATGGTTTTAATTTCCTTTCTTTAAAATTCATTAGTGCCTGTAATGTGTATGTATCAGTCTTACAATAATTACTGTAACATGTGAAGACCACTTTAATGCTGCATGTTGATTTATTTAAAACTGATCTGTAGAATACATATAATATTTAACATGAAGGCAAGAATGCAAACGTCAGCATGTGTTGTCTATTTCTCATTCATTTCTATCTTAAATTATGTTACTTTTTTCATGCATGAAAATGTTTTGATTAAAGATAAAATTACATCTTTTCATTTAAACTTGTGTTTTAGTACTTGTAGTGTTTGTTCAGATAGAAATACTGTGTCATCAACTACAGCCATGAACACCAAAACGTCAATATAATCCACAATAAATGATTTAATGTCTCGATATATCGTAGTTTTTTGGCAGTCCCTTGAACTTCAAAACATTGAAGTATGACTGTATGATGATACTTCAAGCATTATGGTTTTTCAGAAGAAGTTATTCAAGAAAATGTTGACAACTAAAGCTATGTAATAAAACTAATACACCTAATAAAAGTAGGATGCTTTACATACCTGACTCACTAGAAGAGCCATTTCTTGAGAACATATCAGTGGTATGGAGTTGAGTGAAGCCCGGTATGGGTTGAGTAGATAGGTAGTAAACACCGTGTAGGACATCTGATGCATGTATACGGTTATGATCTACAATAGACAAAGTCAATACATATAACGTCCTCTTTTATAAACCAACCAATCTGCTCTGTGAAACTAATGACAAATGAATTTGTTTCTTGTAAGACGTTTTCCAGCTCTGAAAGTCTGCAGTATTTTTAAAAATTGTAACCTTCATCTTTACTTTCAGAAACTGTTGACTGCTTTATGTATATGAATATCAGTATATAGCCATCTGAAATTTGTCGTATTAGACTGCTAGAATGTGATATCTTGGCAAACACAACTGTGTATGGTTGGATACAGACAGACATTCTCTTACTGACGGTAATTTTGAGAACAATTCTCCATTTTCAGAACAATGAATTAAGTGGTGCACAACTACCTGGTAAACGATAGGGAGTTCACAGACAATCTATTGAATTTTCACAGTATCAGACCATCTTCATAAACTCCTAGGTCTTTCATGCTATTCTGGACATATTAAGGGAAAGACTGATATTTTGGGCTCTAATTAATACATACAAGGTACGAGACATACTGAAATATCTCACACTAACATTATCCAAAATCAATCCGTACATAAATCTATATTCTTTGTGTAATACCTAATAAACACAAACATGATTTTATACATCAAAGACATTGCGTAATGTCATTGCATTACAGCTCAAGTACTGAGAAGGAGTAACAACAACACACATGTTGATCTCTTGGTTGATTTCACTTACATGGTTTTTCTCTGTAGCCAATCTCCAACTCATGAAAGAAGTGTAAGAATGGTGTTACTGGTATTCGGAATGTCTCGAACAAACCCACTTCCATGAATAACTTATATATCATCTGTAAATTAAAACAAAATTTTTATTAGGTTGGGTGAATGTTATAATTAGTAGCCATATTTTTATATTCAGCTACCCATATTTAATTAAATTTCCTAATTTACCTGTAGCATTCATGTTCATAAGAAAGCATTACCTCCTGAAACAACATCAAACTTAAGACTGGAGCTGGCTTTAACAGCATGTTTAATAACTGATGATATATTTCATTAAAAACATATACAGTAAAACCCTGCTAAGTCGAACTCCTCGGGCCTGTGTCAGTAGTTTGAGGAATACAGGGTATTTGAGTAATCAGAGGTTGGTCAAAATGTAGATCGTGTGTGAGATATAGTCTGTACCGTGATGGTACGTCTCTGGTCACAGTAAGTAGTCATTGATCCGTTAACGAACAATTACACTTGATTGAAGTCTTATAGTAGCAAAACATATCACAAATTTCGAATCAATACCCAGACCTACTGTAAAAAGTCTCTGATTGAATACTGACGGAGTCTCGTATCGACGTGTTCCTTGAGAATATAGTCACCGATGGTTGACTGAGATGACAGTTGACCCGACATGGTGGCCTTGCTCTCCAGGTACCGTCGCAGAGTCTGGAAGGCCTCTAGTGCCTGCGTCATCGAAGGTAGCAGATGTGAGTCGGCTTCATTGTCACTGACATCTTCTGGAGCGCTGTTGGAGGTGGAAGGCTCATCCCTTGTAGTGATGATATTATCAATGATAGCGTCATTGGTAACAGATTCGCTGGTTGCCAAATCATCGTCTACACGTTTGTACTCCCTGAATGATGTTTGCATCTGGGCGAGGGTGGCGAGAGGCATGTCATCTTCATCGTCCATGTCGTCTTCGGTAGTGGTACAGGTAACGTCTGAGGAAAAACCACAATGTTTATAGCAGTTGGCGATGGTATTAGCTTCGACGCGTTGCCAGGCAGTGGCTAGAAGGCGGAGGGCATCTAAAACTGTCAGAGTGATGGTCTTATCGTTGTCTACGGCTTGTACATGACGCATGATCACTCGCTTCCAGTAGTTAGCTTTTAGGTTTTGGATGATTCCTTGGTCCATCAGCTGGGTCTTGGAGGTAGTGTTAGGTGGCAAGAAATACAAGTCTATGGCCTTCAGAGTCTTGATATAGGGATGGGCAGGGCAGTTGTCAATTATCATGGTGACTTGATGGTTCTGACGCTGGAATTTCTTGTCCAGTTTCTGGATCCATTCTGTGAAGAGGTCTGACGTCATCCACGCCTTCTTGTTCGATGTGTATTCGGTCGATAGAGTGTGGATGTTCTTAAAGCATCGGGGCTTCACAGACTTCCCGATGACAAGGAGTGGCATCTTCTCTGTTCCATCCATATTGGCGTTCTTTGCCTTTTTTCCCCTCTTTTGCAGTCAGATAAACCTTTCGTTAATCCCTTAATTGGCTGCTGTCATGTCGCACACCTGTGTAAACACATGGCAGTGATCAGAGCCGATCAGCTCACGTTAACGCAGTCAAGTGTGACACAGGTGGATTACATGTTCGACGGGGATAAATATGAGTTCAACGAAAAGGGGGTATCTGACGAATAGCGGTTCGAGGAATCCGGGGTTTTATAACATAGAATATATAAGGAAACAGTAGGGACTGAGCGGGCAGTTCGACGAATACAGAGTATTCAAGGAATGCAGGTTCAAGTAAGTTGGGTTTTACTGTAGTTAAACTTAATATGTAATTATAATGATATAATGACAAGAAATTGATACGAAGAAAGTCCTAGGTAATGAGAATATATCTTAAAGGTAATATGATAAAATTTTGGAAATGCAGGAAAACTGAAGTATTTCAGAATGACTGTATTAGGTTTGTCTTCCTTTTTCCTCACTTGGTTCTAGAAAAATGATTTGTTTTCCTGAAAAAATTTTCCTGAAAATCAAAATCCTTCATTCCCTAGGGAGCCATGAATATAAAGCCATACCTATGTTCATATATTTATCAATGATTGATTTGCTACTTTGAAGTCTTTTTCCTTAAAATGATTTTTAATGTCATAAATCACTAATTTGTGAGCTGAAACGAATTTGATGCTGCAAGTTTTGTTAACTCTGCAGTTAAGACTAGATAGCTTTATCTTTCCTGTTTACCAAAAAGTTTCCATTGCATATATTTTATCGTTTAAATGCGATAAAGGCAACAACACGTATATATCTATTGTCGAAAGTGTATACCACACCTAGATAACAACGTTATATACTCACCCGACTGAGAATTGTATCATGGAATTTATCTGATAAATCAAATATAGGATAATCCCACTCGTTCAACTTATGTATGTGTAAAAGTTCACATTGTTCAATTGTATTCACATCCCATGGAAGAATGTCACTACACACAGACTTTGCACTATCTGTCTGGTCCACACCGAGCTCAAGCAAGGGGGGCACAGTCCCACATGAAATGTCTTTTTTAACTTCTGGAACTACAGAAGGGATTTCATCTGTTTCATGGTCATCCACATCTTCCTCATCTGCGTCGTCTGCTGTGTCAACACCCAGCTCATCTGCTATACGAGTATCGTGGATTACCTGTAAAATCAACATATCATGCTCCAAAGTCGTGTTTTTCACCTGATACATTCAGTTCAGAAACATGATTGTGGACTGATAAGGGTGATATCAAATTATTACTACAGTGTGTGATCCTAAAGACGACAGTAGAAACTATTCATTGCTAGGTATGGTAACTTTCTGGGTGAAGATCATTTCTTTTTTCTTTTTTGAATAGACATTTCAGACTTTGTATATCTTTTTTATCTAAAATGTTTTTTTTTTTTTTTTTTTTTTAATCGTCTTTTAATAAGCCAAATTTGTGTGAAGAGACCATCAAAAATTAATGATCCAAAAAGAGAATAGTTTCTTCGTTAAAAGCTTCATAGCCATAACTTCTTCCTTTCCTTTTTTTCTATTTCCATTTAATTTTGAAATAAAATGTATCATGCCTATATTACTGATATAAATTGATTTTTGATATGTAACATTTCATCAATCATCAATGAAAGTATGATTAAATTTTGTTATTCTTTTCAAATTTAATTCAAAATAAACTTTTCATATTTCTTTTTCTAAGTGGAGCTGTTTTCATCATTTCTATATTTAGACAGATATTATGTCCTTGTCAGTTACATCACCAGTCATACTTGATTAGATGATTAAAATGTCTTTTAAATCAAGCACATAAACAATGTAATCATCTAGGTTCAAATCAAAGATGAGACACATATGTATAGGATACCTATGTAGTACCTACTCCTCATTTATTAAGTCAGTCAAAAAGTTTAATTTATCCAATATTTTACAATACAAGTTATGAAAGTGTTTGAGTTGTCTCCCTTGTCACTACTTCATTTGCATTACAATATTCACATTACTCAATTTGATTGTAATACTGCAGGATATGTCTGGTCTGTGGGAAATCATTATATCTCCTCAGTGTAATGTGTGTTATGTAATTTCATAGCACATTTAATACTTCCACCTCCAAAACAGGTTATTTTAACATCGATAGTGGAGACAGTCCACCTCCAAAACAAGTTATTCTAACAGAGTCATATTAGTCCACCTACAGAACAAGTTATTCTAATATGGAGTCATGATAGTCCACCTACAGAACAAGTTATTCTAACAGAGAGTCATGATAGTCCACCTACAGAACAAGTTATTCTAACAGAGTCATGATAGTCCACCTACAGAACAAGTTATTCTAACAGAGAGTCATGATAGTCCACCTACAGAACAAGTTATTCTAATATGGAGTCATGATAGTCCACCTACAGAACAAGTTATTCTAACAGAGAGTCATGATAGTCCACCTACAGAACAAGTTATTCTAATATGGAGTCATGATAGTCCACCTACAGAACAAGTTATTCTAATATGGAGTCATGATAGTCCACCTACAGAACAAGTTATTCTAACAGAGAGTCATGATAGTCCACCTACAGAACAAGTTATTCTAATATGTCATATGCTCCACCTACAGAACAAGAGTCATGATAACAAGTTATTCTAACAGAGTCATGATAGTCCACCTACAGAACAAGTTATTCTAACAGAGAGTCATGATAGTCCACCTACAGAACAAGTTATTCTAACCACCTACAGAGAGTCATGATAGTCCACCTACAGATTCTAACAAGTTATTCTAACAGAGAGTCATGATAGTCCACCTACAGAACAAGTTATTCTAACAGAGTCCACCTATTATTCTAACAGAGAGTCAGTCCACCTACAGAACAAGTTATTCTAATATGGAGTCATGATAGTCCACCTACAGAACAAGTTATTCTAATATGGAGTCATGATAGTCCACCTACAGAACAAGTTATTCTAACAGAGAGTCATGATAGTCCACCTACAGAACAAGTTATTCTAACAGAGAGTCATGATAGTCCACCTACAGAACAAGTTATTCTAACAGAGAGTCATGATAGTCCACCTACAGAACAAGTTATTCTAACAGAGAGTCATGATAGTCCACCTACAGAACAAGTTATTCTAACAGAGAGTCATGATAGTCCACCTACAGAACAAGTTATTCTGATATAGAAAGTCAAGACAGTCCACCTCCAGAACAAGTTATCTATCAGGTTCAGATGAAACAGTCCACCTCCACTACAGGTTATTATTACACAGAAAATTTGATTAATTACTAACAAATTCTCAGCACAGTCAGCTTGATATATCAATATTTCTCCATTTTCTTTAACCTTATTGTGTATTTTCTTTTCAATTCATGACATATCAACTATTAACCATAAATCTAATGAGATTTAGATAATTTTATATTGTTATTTATTTGTCAATTTTATTTTGGTTCCCTTTATTACATATGCATGTCTGGGATTGTAGCACAAAAATATAAAATAAAGTTTGTACTTTTACACTTATTTTGTCTATCAGTGAAAACCTGTCAATAAAACTAGTTTTTATACTGAAATTTCATGTGTATGTATACACTCCAATATCTATGGTAAATTAGGTTTGGTTATCTGTCCTGAATATTGAACATCACAATTGTTCATGTCTTTTAATGTTTTGATATAGTCTGCCTCCCTTTCTATTGACTGTGTACTCTTATTAGAAAATAGCACATTTATCACAAGTGGTGAGGTGCAGCTTGTAAATACTATGGTAGATACACAATTATTCTAACATTTTTCGTGATGAAAAAAGTACATTCTGACAGTCATAATAGAACTTATGTTTATAAATGTTAATCCTGTGGATCAGTTCTGTCCCTATTGAATGTTGTCAAATTAATCAGAAACATTTTGGCCGACATTCAAATGGATTTTCTTTTGCTCTATACTTTTCAATAAAGATTCTTGAACATTTTTTATTTGCAAAATCAATAAGAAATAGATTGTCTAGCCTTCTTCAACATTTTGTGCACAGATTCCTAACCATATCTCTCTGAATTTCATGACACTTTGCCTCATAAGCAGAAATCGTTATCAAGTTCCTCTCCCATCAACAACACACCCTCCATTTGGGAACAGATATGATTTTGAAATAAGTAATGTCTATTCACAACCAATTTCTTTTTAATCAAAGTATGTTATGAAATTTTGCCCTGATAATATCTATAGCAATTGCTTTTAATGGAGAATAGAAAATCAGACTGCATTTCAATTTGATTCCTTAAGCCTGAAACATTTAGCATATTCCCACAGGATTTATCTCTTATTATTGATACTGTCGCAAAAGGTATAAAGACTTCTTTGTAAAAGAAAGTTACTGGTATAATTCACACAAACTGTTTATACAAACTTTCAGAAGAGAAAGTATTGTGAATCAAATCTAAAACTGAACAAGTCATCTACAACTGTCCTTACCAAATCTATCACTGAACAAGTCATCTACAACTGTCCTTACCAAATCTATCACTGAACAAGTCATCTACAACTGTGATTACCAAGTCTATCACTGAACAAGTCATCTACAACTGTCCTTACCAAGTCTATCACTGAACAAGTCATCTATAACTGTCCTTACCAAATCTATCACTGAATAAGTCATCTACAACTGTGATTACCAAGTCTATCACTGAACAAGTCATCTACAACTCAAATCTATCACTGAACAAGTCATCTACAACTGTGATTACCAAATCTATCACTGAACAAGTCATCTATAACTGTCCTTACCAAATCTATCACTGAATAAGTCATCTACAACTGTCCTTACCAAATCTATCACTGAACAAGTCATCTACAACTGTGATTACCAAATCTATCACTGAACAAGTCATCTACAACTGACCTTACCAAATCTATCACTGAACAAGTCATCTACAACTGTGATTACCAAATCTATCACTGAACAAGTCATCTACAACTGTCCTTACCAAGTCTATCACTGAACAAGTCATCTACAACTGTCCTTACCAAATCTATCACTGAACAAGTCATCTACAACTGACCTTACCAAATCTATCACTGAACAAGTCATCTACAACTGTGATTACCAAGTCTATCACTGAACAAGTCATCTACAACTGTCCTTACCAAATCTATCACTGAACAAGTCATCTACAACTGTCCTTACCAAATCTATCACTGAACAAGTCATCTACAACTGTCCTTACCAAATCTATCACTGAACAAGTCATCTACAACTGTCCTTACCAAATCTATCACTGAACAAGTCATCTACAACTGTCCTTACCAAATCTATCACTGAACAAGTCATCTACAACTGTCCTTACCAAATCTATCACTGAACAAGTCATCTACAACTGTCCTTACCAAATCTATCACCGAACAAGTCATCTACAACTGTCCTTACCAAATCTATCACCGAACAAGTCATCTACAACTGTCCTTACCAAATCTATCACTGAACAAGTCATCTACAACTGTGATTACCAAGTCTATCACTGAACAAGTCATCTACAACTGTCCTTACCAAGTCTATCACTGAACAAGTCATCTACAACTGTCCTTACCAAATATATCACTGAACAAGTCATCTACAACTGTCCTTACCAAATCTATCACTGAACAAGTCATCTACAACTGTCCTTACCAAGTCTATCACTGAACAAGTCATCTACAACTGTCCTTACCAAGTCTATCACTGAACAAGTCATCTACAACTGTCCTTACCAAGTCTATCACTGAACAAGTCATCTACAACTGTCCTTACCAAGTCTATCACTGAACAAGTCATCTACAACTGTCCTTACCAAATCTATCACTGAACAAGTCATCTACAACTGACCTTACCAAGTCTATCACTGAACTGTTCAACAAGTCATCTACAACTGTCCTTACCAAATATATCACTGAACAAGTCATCTACAACTGTCCTTACCAAATCTATCACTGAACAAGTCATCTACAACTGTCCTTACCAAGTCTATCACTGAACAAGTCATCTACAACTGACCTTACCAAGTCTATCACTGAACAAGTCATCTACAACTGTCCTTACCAAATCTATCACTGAACTGTTCAACAAGTCATCTACAACTGTCCTAACCAAATCTATCACTGAACAAGTCATCTACAACTGACCTTACCAAG